TATCCTACCCTCATTGTCAGTAGAGTGTAATAAACTAATGTATTGAGGATACTGACTGGTGATATGCTTGATAAAGTGAGTGTGACCTTCTAATGATGAAAAATGAATAACATTCAAATCTTTGTTATGTGTTAGGCTCAGACTACACTTGTAATCCTTCACGTATAATTCCAGTAGTAAAATATCACCAGATTTAGCAGCATAATGAATTGGTAGCTTACCATTACTGTCAGCTTGATGAGGATCTAACTGATAGGTAGTTATTAATTTTTTAACAAGAGATAAGTTAAGAGACACTGAGGCATAATGTAAAGCAGTGAGGCCATCCTTATCAACTGCAGTAGGAGACAAACCTTGTTCAGTAATAAGATACTGAACTAAATCAAAGTTACCACTCCATGCAGCATGATGCACTAATGTGCGTCCTTCATTATCTGTTTTATTAATATCACAATGCTGTACTTCAATGAGATATTGAGTGATATCAATATGACCATGACGACAAGAACGATGAAGACATGTCATACCATCATTATCAGTGATATTAGGATCACTGTTATGATTATTAATAAGATATTTAACAGAATTAATACTACCTGACCAGCAGGAATAGACTAATGGTGTACGACCATCAGTATCAGTATCATTAGCATTGAGATTATACTGAGATATGATATAACTTAATACACTAGTAGAACCTGACCAGGCAGCATAATGTACTGGAGACATTCCATCATTATCTAATGTACAATTGATATTATATTCTTCTAATGCTTTCACTAGTAATGTACTGCCACTGCGTGATGCTAAATGAAGTAATGACTGACCATCATTTGTAGTGGCATTGATGTCAAAGTTAGGACAAGTGCTAGCTTTCTTGAGAAGTGAAGAAAACATTTTAACTCTTTCATTTCGTTTGATAAAATCAATATTTGTTTTTATTCTAGCATTATTAATAATTCCAATATCTGTTGCATCACTTTGTGCCATGAGCTTACTATACACAATACCAGCTGGAAAGTGTATACCTGCATCACATGCATAATGTAAACATGACTTACCATTATTATCACCAACTAATAATGCTTCATTACCTTGAATACTAACAATATACTTAACAACTGATGATGAAGCAAACCATGAAGCATAATGAAGTGGAGTCCTATCATATTTAGAATCCTTTACATCAATGGATAATTGATATCGATTTAAAAGATACTTTAAAAGCTCAACACTTTTATTATTCATAAAATAACAGGTATAATGTAGTATACCACGCCCTGAATTTGTTGTGTCATCTGGTGAGAAGAGGTTTAATGATTCAAGCTTGTGGACTAATGCTAACTCTCCACTTTGACAAGCTAACAATGATAAAGACTCACCTTTGAAATTAATCTGAGAAGTATTACAATTTCTCTCAATAAAGAATTCTACTAGGTCAGAATGGCCCCCCATTGCTGAGTACAGTAATGCAGTGTTATTGATATTGTCTGGTTGATCAGGAGGAACATCACACGTGTCTACTAGATATTGTACTATACATAAGTGGCCTTTATAAGATGCCATATGTATACTAGATACACTATTATCATCACCTTCATTAGGATCAATACCATATTGATGGATGAGTAGTTGAAGGATCTCAATGTGTCCACCATATGATGCAGAGTGTAATGGAGTCCAACCATGAAGACCACAATGATATGTGTTGTCACCGAACTTGTCAAGAAGC